CTGTTAGCTCTGATATGATGCACAAAAAATTGCACAGAACACTGTCTCGAAAACAAATGAAGCTTGCAACATATTGCGGAGATTGTACAGGTAGTGGTGTTAGCAGATACGACAGTGTGACCTACAAATGTAGCTAAAATAAACACTTCAATTCAGGCATGCATTTCAGGAGTTGTTTCCATATTTTTGTCCATCCCCTGTATTTTTTGTATATAACAATTTTTTTTCTTGTTGCTTGTTTTGTTTACAGCTCACTGGAGGTTTCTTTCTGAATAGCCCTTGTAGATTTCTGTAGTGGAGGTAGTGTGAAACATTTTTTATTTAATCCAGCTTGTTTAATGATAGTTGGTTCATGAGATTTGCTTGTCTTTTTTATTACTGGATGTTCTTCATACACAGCAAGTTGTATTTAACATTCTTTTCCTAAGAGAAAGGTCTGGACTGGATGGCCAGAGTTTGATTTCTTGCAGGGGCAAGTGGTTTTTCTCTACTTCGCATCATTCATACTGACTCTGGGGCCCACCCAGCCTCCTATCGAATGGCTTCCACAGGCTCTTTTCCCAGAGGCAATGCAGCCAGTTTGTGAAGCTGAGCATTCACCACCATCTAGTGCTGAGGTCAAGAACTGTGGAGCTATACCTCTACTCCCACATACATCTTCCTGACATAGGTTGGGTGGCCTGGATGCTGTGGCTCCTCCTGGGAATCGAACCCCAGCCATCCAGCCTGTAACCCACCATTCTAATGACCAATCTATCCCAGCTATAGTGAGAAGATTAAATGCTTGTATTTCATAACATGTAATTCCATGGTCTTCATTTTCAGGGCCCTGAACCAAGCATTAGGACGGTGTATACGCCACAAGAATGATTGGGGTGCACTCATAATTATTGATAAGAGATTTATGACTGAGGAGAGACATGTACAAGGATTGTCAAAGTGGATACGCAGAAAGGTATCTGTACTACTAGATGTCACTTTTTTATGAATTTGCTATTAAGTCATATGTTCATTCACATTTATGACATCTATATTTCTGCACATTACACTGGATTACCCTGTTTGCTGAAGTATGAAACAAAATTATTTTCATAAAAGGTTATGGTACCCTAATAGTACACTCTGAATGAAAATTGCAACTTCCTGTAACTTCAGTTCTGCAAATGTATATTCTTTTTGAAACCGACACTAATAAATATACTTTCTCTTGATGATTCTATACATATTACATACTGGTTTCATTGTAATATAACTTTTATATCTGTTTTACAGGTTCAGCCCTTTGCATCATTCGAGAAACTTCATTCCAGCCTGAGAAACTTTGTGCACTCACATAGTCCAGTGGTACCAGAACGTGTAGTTGAATAATCATGTTTCAGCTGTGATAATGATAAATGAAAAGGAAAGATTTTTTTCACCCTTGGCACTACAGCCCCAGTGGGCTTAGGCCTACCTCCATGAACTTCTCCATTCACAAAGGAAAGATTAAGATTTTGTTTTTATCCACCTCATTGATAATGAACAATTATGCTTCTGGTGTGCTCTTTCTCTTGGTAAACTATTTATATCTCAAGAAGTTGTTAAATGGAGCAGCAACAGAATATCAACATAAATAACAATAAAGTACTTCTTTATGACTGTTTAGAATAATTGGCAGAATTATTACAATCCAGTGGAAGTCACTGCTTCATATCAATGCTTGAAATTGTTTCTATGGTAATGTACCCACAAATTTATCTCAGACATATATTTACCTTTTGGGTTAAGGTAGGTGGATACAAAAGCAGAGATGGATGGATATCCATGTGCTTTATTAATTAAGCACCATGCCATGAAGACATATGGGGGAGTGGAAGGATAGCTCCACCATTCTTAACCTCTGCACTAGATGGAGATGTGGCCAATGTTACAGCCCAGCCACTTTAAGCCTCCGGAGTCCATTGGGTAGGTGGCTGGGTGGATCTGAATAGATGGCAGTGACAAATACCTTGAGGATAAGTGGTGTATCACCACACTGCAGAAGCTGGAGGAGTGCATTCAGTAAGAGCTCCATTGGCTGTATGTATTGGCAAGCTTATACTCCACAACATTTCTTAGTTTCATACACACTAGACCAGGGAATCATGTCTGAATATTTTGCTCTCTCCCCATCCTCTCTGTGAAGTGAAAGACAAAGGGAGAACAATATTCTGTCAGTACTGTCCATCATGCAGTTTCATTTCTGCATGGCCTGACATCAAGCCCTATCTCCAGAGATGGGTTGCACCTAAAGTGAAGATGGAGACAGAATCCAGTCTCTGAAACGTTGTGTTTTAAATAAAAACAGGACAATGGATAATGTCCAGAAACACAATAGTTTTATTAATATACAAAATTTTAGATATTAGTTAATCATACATTTTTAGGCACATTACACCAATATTATGAACAGATGTGTCGTGAATGATACAAATTCCAGAGTATTCTGATTTGTTTCGTTCTGGTCCGTCACACTAACAATACTACAAATGATAAAACAATTCTGTCCAGTGTGACTGTTGAAGCTTTTACTACACTTCTTAGCACCCTAACATATTTCGCTCCCTAAGTTAAAGGACAAGGGACACGAACCTATTCAGTTAAAGATTTTTAACTTAAATAACAAAAAGTAAAAAAAAAAATGAAGTAAAAAAAAATAAAAAAAACTTTAATGCATCAAGGACAGTTGCTGTAGTTGTAAGAAATTTGGATTTTGTCTAAAGTGTATATTACAAATATTGTATATTTATATATTTTAAAAATCAAAACACCCAATGTAATAGTAGTTTCTAAAAGTGTTGATTTCCCTCCAATGATANCACACTAACAATACTACAAATGATAAAACAATTCTGTCCAGTGTGACTGTTGAAGCTTTTACTACACTTCTTAGCACCCTAACATATTTCACTCCCTAAGTTAAAGGACAAGGGACACGAACCTATTCAGTTAAAGATTTTTAACTTAAATAACAAAAAGTAAAAAAAAAAATGAAGTAAAAAAAAATAAAAAAAACTTTAATGCATCAAGGACAGTTGCTGTAGTTGTAAGAAATTTGGATTTTGTCTAAAGTGTATATTACAAATATTGTATATTTATATATTTTAAAAATCAAAACACCCAATGTAATAGTAGTTTCTAAAAGTGTTGATTTCCCTCCAATGATAGTCTATAGGGACCGAAACATGTTAGGGTGCAAGAAGTGAAGTAGTAAAAGCTTCAACAGTCACACTGGACGGAATTGTTTTATCATTTGTAATCCAGATTATTCAGATGAGTAACTGTTAACTTGTTAGGTTTCAGTATGAAATTTTTTAAAGATATCCAGTCACTGGTCACTGGTATTGTGTGGAATACTCCACCCTCTTTCTTGGCCTGGATTAGTAGGGATGGGTGAATCTATGACAAGAGGGTTCTATACTATGCCAGTAATTGAACTGATTAAGGCATGAAGATAAGTATGTTATAACAAACNCCATCCCCACCATTAGCCCGGATAATCGAGAGTTGACTGTATACTATAGGAAAAGCTAGTACATTTAAGATAGATCACTGGCTGAATTTAGAATGATCCATGTAATCCATCTCAAACTTTACTTTCAAGAGTATCAAATGAAATTCTCAGGTAACACAAATATATTATCACCTTCCCTAAAGTTATCAACAATACTGCATCTAAAAATCAACCTAATGGGAATTTGAACAAGACCAAGCCCCCTGAAAATACGTGCTCACACATTCTGTAGCTGTAGACTAATGAACAAAGAAATCATCATAGCATGGGGTGATGTGGATTCCAGTAACCACACACCTCACAAGAAAATCACCCAGAGTCATCAAGCAGCAAGAATTATTCTTTCCTGACGGGTTATCTGTGATGCTAACCCATGAACAATGCCCCAAATCTTAGGCTTCCTGTTGGTCCTCATTGTGTGCCCTAACGTTTTGTCCAAATATAGTTTGCATCCTACTGTAAGACTTAAGCAATTTAAAGTGTAGTAAAGCTTTAAATCTATGCTTCCTGCAGTGACACCATCCTTACAAACTCCCAGACCACCCCCAATCATGCCATCAGCATGGAGCCATACAGGTGCCGGAAGATGTCATGTCACACCTACAGAAGGGTGAGAGATGAGTCTCCTCTAAATGCTAGCATATCGCTGGTGTTTCTGTTGTGTATTAGATACTGATTACGCCTGGGAAGTATGCGCAGAAGGTTCTAGGGGTGAACTTCGTTGAATTAGACGGCATTTTTTCCTGTCGTAGGTGCCCAAATAATAATTACACTGAAAGCAGTGCAGATTCACAATTCGATTTGAGCATAATATGAAGGGCAGCAATTGTATTGGCCAGCATCTGAAAGAAAATGTTGACTTCAATGAAAGATTGAAAAGCAGTTTGGAAAGGTATTTTTTTTTTCCAAATATATTTGACAGTGCATTCAACTTCAAACGGTTTTATTAGTTCTTTTTAAAAGCAGTGTTTGGATTATTTTTTTAATATTTTATATTCTATAAATGTTCAGTAGGTTACCACAATGAGTACATTTTCCTCAATTTATGGTAGTTAATATTTTGCAGAGTACATTCCTATCTTTTTTATGTATCTACATACAAACTCAATTCACTGGACTATCTAACAGATGGATTGGCTGAGTTAAGCAAACAAATTCTAGGTCCCAGATGCAGAGTAATCTGAAGAGTTGATTGGTGAAATGATTTACTTCAAACAGGATATTGATACTTCAAGTAGGTAACTTAAATTTATCTGACATTTCAGATGTATTGGATAAATCATTTAGGCTTGACACATCTTTTCTGAACAATCAAAATAAGTGAAAATTTGCCTGTATTAGTTATGAATGACAATCATGAAGTATTTTCACAAAGTGTATATCTCGTATGAATATTGTTTCATAAATTTGTAATATACAGAAATGGTTTAGCTTCAAGGTAATGAAAGTGATTTTTCTTTGTTCTGGACAGACATCCATCATTATAGTTCTCAGTGTCTGCAAGAGAATGCTAAAGTGCTAATTGAAGTAGGTGAATACCATCCCCAAAAGCCATATTAAACAAGTTATGTATAAGGTGTGATTTGTAAGAATCATACCCGAATGTGCAGATAATCCCTAATGCAGATTTAAACACTTGACCATGGTGACGTCTCAGCAACGGCTGGCCCTTAGAGCCACATGCAGGGCACACAATTTCTGATTTTCCAGGTCTCCACGCGTCAACTGAAATGATAAAGAGAATCCAGTGCATAACAACATTACCCAGTTCTGATATCATCTTCCTCAAATTTATACTGGATAGTATCCCCCTTGACTGGTTTTCATACATTGCACGGGACTAAAGTTTTATAACTATCATTAATTTATCCCTACAGTCATAAATATTTTAATGTTTTTAGATGATAAATGCATACACAGTTCTAGTTTGAAACCTTAAAGGACGAGACTAATTGAAAGACCTAGGCATGCACGGAAATGTACATGGTGCAATCCTAAAGTTCCCGAAGTATATTAATAAAAACTATTACATCTTAAATAGATCTTATTCTGCACCATCACCTTCAAAGTAGTCCCCTTGGGAGCGCATACACCGATCCCAGCGTTTCTGCCACTTTTCAAATGCATCCTGGAAGTCTTTCTTTGTTAGGGTATTTAGTACTGTCTGCGTTTCCGCTTGAATTTCCTTAACTGTATCAAATTTTCGCCTCTTCAACTTGATTTTCATCTTGGGGAAGAGAAAGAAGCCGGCTGGAGCTAAGTCTGGTGAGTACCATGATTGGGGAACAACTGCCATCTTGTTTTTAGCCAAAAATTCCTGCACAATGTAAGCCGTATGTGGTCGTGCATTGTCATGGTGGAATACCCAGTCGTTCGTGCGCCACTTCTCTGGATGTTTTCTCCTCATGTTCTCTCTCAAACGCCTTAGAACATCACGAAAGAACTCTTTATTCACTGTCTGACCAGGATGGACGAACTCCTTGTGAACAATCCCGTCAGTATAAGAAAAAATCAGATCAACATGGACTTAATGTTGCTCTTGACTTGTCGAGCTCTTTTTTGACTGAGGTGAAGAAGGGCTCTTCCAGTGCGATGGTTGCTGCTTACTTTCAGGGTCGTAGCCATGAACCCAACTTTTGTCAGCAGTGACAACCTTCGAAAGAAAGTTTGTGTCCTCCTGAAGCTGTTGAAGCTCCTTGCCGACTTCCCAGCAATGCTGATTCTGCTCATTTTGCAGCAGTCATGGCACAAACTTTGCCACAATCCTCCTCATGTTCAGTACCTCTGACAAAATTCGTTGACATGTACCATAACTTAGTCCCAAGGTGTTACAGAGTTCTTGGATGGTCAGTCTACGATCTTGCAGAATCAGATCCCTAACTTTCATGACATTTTCTGGTCTGGCGCCAGTTGACAGCCGTCCCTAACGATCGTCATCTTCAGTCGATGTTCGGCCATTTTGAAATGCTTATACCAGCCGTAAGTTTGTGTCTGACCTAAACTGTTGTCGGCAAAAACTTGTTTCAACATTTGGTGTTTTTCTGCAGCGGTGTTCCCAAGTTTAAAACAAAACTTTATACAGACATGCTGCTTTCTCAAGTCAGCCATCACAAAACCACAAACTCACGGAAACACAACAATGGAAATACATTCACCAACAGTAAACCCAACCACTCAACTCGACGCTGCTTGCCACACTGATTCAAGAAGGGTGTGTGAGGAGCCACCTAGCGGTATTTCAATGTACTCAACCACTCATGTGCAAAATTCAAATTTCGGGAACTTTTGGATTGCACCACATATCTTAAAGGCATAGGGTGTAAGGCTCTGGATTAGATTTACTTGGCTCAGGACTGAGTTAAGTCATGTACTCTTGTGAACACTAATGAACATTTGTTCTGCGAGATGCAAGGGATTGAAAGCTGAGTAACAATTAGTTTGTCAAGAAGGACTTTTCTCAATGGGGTAATTAGTTGTAGTTAGTTAATATCTAGAACGATTGTTAAAACATGCCCCTTTTATTTCCATACAGTAATCTGCAAATTGTGGAGTTTACATACATGGAAATTTCCACTGTTGGTAAAACCAGTATCCCAGCCTTAGGGAAATTCGGAATGCTCAATGAAAATCTAGTTGTCTGTTACTCACTGAACACAAATATTACTTCATAAAATTAGACATAAAATACAAAAAGTGTCACAAGGAAATGCAATGTTGGTCTGGAAGCTACAAAATTTGTTTCAAATGGTCATGGTGCAAAAAGCAGCCAATTGTTTCCATTTTTACACAAATTAAAAACCATGGATATATAAAACCAGTGCTGCAGTTTTGGATTAGGTGTAAATGGAAAAGTGGTGCTTTATTTTTAAGTCATCAAACAAGTCTTATTTCAGAAGGTTTCAGATTGAATCCAATTTCTGGCATTGGTTTTAAGTTATCAACAAATCTCATTTGACATATCTGCAGTTGACATAGTATCATTAATAACACATTAATTGACCACTCAGCAAAATAACTATTTCAGTGAGAATATAATTTAAATTCACGCTGTATTTGACCGTATTTTTCTGTATTCACAAGTCTCCCTTATGGGGATCTGTGGATCTATGAATGGAGATTGCTTGCTTGCTTTTACTTTTACTTGCATGTTTTATAACCTTTAACAATGTATTCATTGACAGTTTTTGACAAAAGGGTCAAATTGTGATGCACAAGTATAATTAACTTGTGTCTACATAATTCATAATCTTATCACTTATTAGCAATATACTCATCGACGTTCCTGTTAACAGGCTCAAATTGTGATGCATAAGTACATTTAACTTATATTTATGTAATTTGTAATCTTATTAATTTTTCAATTAGACATAAATAAATTGAACAATTGAACCCATAGGCAATTTGACTATGCAACTTGTACTAATTTCTTGTAGTCATGAGATTGTTTGATTTGAGGTTCTCACAGTCTTGGTTAAGAAGAGTTATGTTTTCTGGGATATAATACAGTGAAGTCCATTGAAAGTCAACCTGCATTTCAGAAGAACATGTTACTGTGTTCAGTTTTCATAATCACTATTGTGAATTTTTCAAATTCTTGAACATCTATGATCCAGCTGCCAGATAGCATTTTCATTCAGCATGTATTTCATCATTAATTTTGGGATTGCATATTCTTCCAATATGACAAATCCACTTTATTCTATAGCCCAATATGTCAGAAAACACTGGTTCAGTGTTCATTTCATCCAGAATGTCTTGATTCCTTTTGTAATCTTTCTATATACTCGTATATTTTTGCTGTGCTTCTCAGTTGTGATTCCAGATATGTTTTTGATGTTTGTTGTCCAGGTTCCACTACCACAGATGAATGTGCGTGATTCTAATTAGCCTACTTTCCATATTTTGGAAAAATGAAAGTAGCCATATGAGATTGTCTTGCTGTCTGTGTATCTGTATGTTTATCCCCCCCATTATTGCTAAGCAACAGCTCAGTTACTAGGCAATGGCTCAGTAAATGCATTTCCAGCGCAAAGAATACATATGCCACAGTAGAAGAATTGTTGGATGCATCATTTTCTATGCAGTCCATATAATATGAAAGGAAAGTAGGCGATTAGGTTGTCTCAGAATTTCCTGTTTTGCTGTTGAGGTTCAACAGTGTCTCTAGCCATTCAGCTTCATTAATCTTAGTGTATAATATGAAGCAAGCACTTTATTTAATTCATTCACAGATCAACTGATGACATCTCTCCATATATTATCAAAGGGATAGACTGTTACAATTGGGTGATGTGTTGTTGAGAATACAGTGCACTATTTTTTTGCAGTTGAAATTTTAAAATTGTATGTCTCAATATGAAGTATTATTTGGTACAACTCTTATACATACCTGTTTCAAGGTACAATTTTTTGATTTGCTCTTTCTGCATACATTCATTTAGACTTACAGTTGAATCGAACTGTGTACAGGCTTTCTGAAACATTGGGAATGTCTTAGATTATTATCAGTTACAATGAACAGATCATGGAAATAACAAATGGCATCTCTGGGAAGTTGGATTTACTGACTTCAGTCCTGAAATCCAGACCTTGATCAACATTCAGAATTTTCTTTAATATAAAAACATGTCACAGGATGACAATACATGTGTTGCTTTTACTCTTTTGGATTTTAGAACTGTTGAGTTAATGTAGTGCCAAATAAGGTATGGGGATCTTTACAAATGTCAAGGCAGAAATCAACCTCAAAAATATGGCCATGGCCTTCAATAGCACTAAAATGTATTTATTTAAATAAGAAAAACCAAGATATATTTCTGTCTGGAAAGCATACTTTCAACCTTGTGCATCCTGAATACAAAGCAGTGATAATATTGCTTCATAGCATCTAAAGAAAATTTGTTATCTTAAATGTACTGTTGTAATAGTCATAACACTAATAAGATACTACAGGGAAATGTTCTGATGAAATGCTATTACCTCGCTGTTTTTGTTGACTTCATCAACTGGCTCACATTCCTGTGGATCAGACTGCATTCCACTCGAATCAGAACTGAAAGTGGAGAAAAACAAAAAAAAAATTCATTGGCATTAATTTGAGTACAGTCTTCAAGAGGCTGGAACAGATGATATGAGGACTAATCGGAAAGTAACCTACATTTATTTTAGGCAACTAATGAGTGATACAGAAATCTGTCATGAATTATGACAAAAATATAATTAAGGAAGGAACTGTAAGGCAGTGGTGTAGAATGTTCAAAAATGGGCGAACAAATGTTCACAATGAAGAGCAAAGTGGTTGGCTGGCCGTCTGTAGTGAGTGATGATCTTGTTCAAAGTATTGACCAGAAAATTTGTGAATGACAGCACTTCACAATTTGAGAACTTTTGTGTGAATTTCCTCAAATTTTACTCACTGTTCTCTAGGAGATTATCACAGTTAGGCTAGGCTGTCACAAGTTTTGTGCAAGATAGGTTGCAAAAATGATGACAGGTGACTACGTTGAAAAGTAGCTTAAGTGTGTACATATTTTTTGTATATGATACAATTTATTTTTCTCATTGCATGTTTTGTTAAAATCTCACCAGGGTTACTTTTTTTAATAGCCCTCGTACATGTGCCGAGCCGATGAAAATGCAGATGATGATGATAATCCATCTTTTTTGTCAACACAAAATAAGTAATTTCCTCAGCATTTAGTAGTCAGGTACACACCAGTAATGTGCCTTAAAATATTATCACAGTAATTAAAGATGGCAATTATTCTACAGCATTGGTTGCTTCTCAGTAGTGAGGTTGCTGCAAGGAAATAAGTTGTCTTTCCTATCTTTGATCAACCAGAAATATGGAAAGCCTTGAGTAGGCAAACACCAGAATTCAAGAAACGCTTTTATACTTAGTCTATAAAGTTCAACATTTGTTTTATACCACAAATAAAAATTTGGGTAACATATGTGGCATCAGTAAAGACATTACTGATGTAATCTTAAAAGTAATTTTAAATTAAGGGCAAGTTAATATGAAATAATTTTTGCTTCTAAACATATGCAAGTCATTCTGAGATTTGAGATCCCCATGGCAATGACTATCTTCTGGCATGTGACACTATGTATTCAGGAAGAAGTTTACACTAATCCTTCAGAGGAACAATTACAAAATTTTACCTTGGCTATATGGCCTTATGTCCCAGTAGGTAGTACTTTCACAGGCCGCTCTGGTCTCTCATATTAGAAATTTATCAATTGCAATATCTTCCAGTATTTCTTTAGACAGATGACACAGCTGTGTTAATTTTGGTGTTATGTAGTAATGTCTTTGAATACTATTGTTGTTCAAGGAAGGAAAGATTTTTGCATAGTTGTAAACAGAATTCAAAATTTCATGGCACAGATTTCAGCATTTTTGGCATTACAAATTAAATTTGTAATTTTAGCAAGTGAGTGTGTTCAAATTCACATCTGCATTTTTAACCCTCACATTTCTATGCCAAATTTTAGCTTATGTTACAAGCTTCATTTTCCACTTTAACAGAAGAGCCAAGATTGGAAGTGTTTTAAAGCAGACCTGATTAGATAATGTGAACCAGAAAGATACATATTAACAGGTGAATGAAGATAATTGTCCGTAAGAAGCATTATGTTTTATACTCTTTACCTGAGACTGTTAAAGGCAAGTACACAGCAGAGGTACACATTGGGAAAATATTTATGTGTAAAACGGTATTTGGAAAACTCATAGAGGGAGATCATTTCAGATGGCTAGTTGAAGTGGGAGCAATTGAATTACTGTAAAGTTCTGGATTGTAACAAACTAGTCCAACTGAATTTCTTTGTTATGACTGACATGATCATTCAGGCTCTGAATTTTCTGTAGGGGTGTATAACTAGTGTATATGTACCATTCAGGATGGTCATACATGTGTTGGTTTCATGACATTTTCTTACCTGATATCAGACTTCTGTCTGGAAGTTTCACATTCAGTGGGTGGCAATATGGCATCCTGCTGCTGGTTCTTGTATTGGTCAGTATGGTCTGCGTTTGCCACAGGGTGGCTTCCTTGGAGATTTTTTAGCTCTTTGTTGGTCTCATCACGCTCACATTCCAGCTCCAGACTGCACAACGCAAGCTGCATTCGCATTGTCCTTGACATTGATGGATTATCCATTTAATCTTCAGCTTCTTCCAACTTCTTCAGTGTCTCTCAGAGCAAGAACCTACAAGCTTAATACAATAACGCTGTGAAGTATGTTGCCCATATGAAGAAACGAATTCAATGGAGCATAGTCTTTTTAAGGAACTAAGGAACTAATAGTCATTCAGCTTGTCAGGAAATTTCTGCCTGTTATATTATTATTATTATTATTATTATTATTATTATTATTGTCTTCTCATCTGCTGTCCAAAAACATAAAAATTAGAATATACAAAACTATAATTTTGCTTGTGGTTCTGTATGGGTGTGAATCTTGGTCTCTGACATTAAGGGGGGAACACAGACTGAGGGTGTTTGAGAACAGGGTGTTGAGGAGAATATTTGGAACAAAGTGGGATGAAGTGACAGGAGATTGGAGAAAACTGCATAATGAGAAGCTTCATAATTTGTACTCTTCTCGAAGTGTAATAAGAATGATCAAGTCAAGGAGGATGAAGTTGGCAGGGCATGTAGCACGAATGGGGGAAACGAGGAATGCATGTAGGATATTGGTGGGAAAACCAGAAGGAAAGAGACCACAGGGAAGACCAAGGCATAGGTGGGTGGACAATATTAAAATGGATCTTAGAGAGATAGGATTGGATGGTATGGATTGGATTGATCTGGCTCAGGATAGGTGCCAGTGGAGGGCTCTTGTGAACATGATAATGAACCTTCGGGTTCCATAAAATTCTGGGGAATTCTTGAGTAGCTGCAGAATTGGTGGCTCCTCCAGAAGGGCTTGGCTCCATGAGTAAGTAAGTAATTATTATTACTATTATTATTTAACTGTGAATGGCTTTTCACCTGGTGGCAGTGGTACTACAATAAGACAACAGACAAATAACACACAAACATGTTCAAACAAAACACAGCACATAAACATTTATAGAAACCAATCTCATTATTGTATTCACAAGAGCCTCCCACTGAGCCAAGTGAATCCAGTCTAATGTCAGTTATTAAGCTCCATTTTAATTAGTCTGTCTTACAAACAAATTCTTGGTAATATGTGCTACCAGAAATTTTATGAGAATTGTGAAGTTATCAATTTATGAACCCCTCTGATCTCTGTGAAAATATAGGTAGGTAAGTAAGCAAGTGAAATTGTTCCTGTAAATAATTGTGAATGATGCCATTAAGACATATGAGAAATGGAGGTATAATTCGACCATTCTTGACACTGATACTAGATGTAGGTGAGTGGTTAGCTTCATGCTTTGACTGTTTTACCCCCTGTGGAAAGAGCCCACTGCACAAAGAAGATTAATTATTTTATTCAACAGCCTGGTCTCTGAGTTCATGGGAGGAACACAGACTGAGGGTGTTTCAGAACAGGATGCTGAGGAGAATATTTGGACCAAAGAGAGATGAAGTGACAAGAGGTTAGAGAAAACTGCATAATGAGGAGCTTCATGACTTATAATCTTCTCCATGTATAACATCAGGTCAAGGAGGATGAGATTGACAGGGCATGTAACACGAATGGGGGAGGATATTGTTGGGAAAGGCGGAAGGAAGGAGACCACTGGGAAGACCAAGAAGTAGGTGAGTGGACAATATTAAAATGGATCTTAGAGAGATGGGATGGTATGGATTGGATTGATCTGATTCAGGATAGAGACCAGTGGAGGGCTCTTGTGAACACGGTAATGAACCTTCAGGTTCCATAAAATACTGGGAAGTTCTTGAGTAGTTCTCAAGAAGGGCCCAGCTCCATGAGCGAGTGAGGCAGTATCTGAGACTATGTAGCATCAAATGATTGAATGTTGGTGATTAATGATATGGAAAGAAGCGATAATGCACCATCCCGGCATTTACCTGGAGAGAAGAAACCCGAGATAAACCACTTAGGATAGTGGGTGTCACGGAAGAGTTGAATAGAAGAATTTAAACAACCAATGATGTCTCCGCACCAGTGGATAGTTATTCGATTGGCCACGATATTTCTGCTATGACGATACATGAAGTTTCAACACGGAACTATACTGGACCGTACGAGGTACAGGTCTATTAATCTAGTTCTCTAAAGGAGCATACCATATAGTCAACTAATACGTAATGTCACACGATTTATCTGTTTGTACTTACCTGGACTTTTTATTGCAGCGAAGGTTCCCTCAACAAAAACAATGTTATCGTGAATACAAGACTTTATGCGTTTGTTGTGATCCAATATATCGTCCAAGGATTACCGAAGAAACTAGGTATGTATGCCAACAATTGTGATGCCGCATTGTTTCAAACCGCTTCCCGAGGAAACACATTGTTGAAGGCAGGGGAAGAGAATACGCCGTGAATTATATACGCGCCTCAACGGCCTGTGTCAAATACTGACAGAATAATCTGGAGTACTTCTGCTTCAGATATGCTTGTGAAGAACCGGAAGTTTGGAAATATGGTGCTGGAGCAAGCCCCAATGGCCCCAGCTTCTCCTTTCCATATAATGGTGAACGCCAAGCTGCCACGCCCCCCACAGCGGTCCGTACTTTACACTCAATGTTCTAAAGACTGAATTTCTTCTAAATAATACACAGTAACTCCCCGACTTACAGAGGACGCAGTTACACAAGCCATAGATACAGGGATAGAAAAGTACAGATTTTAGCCTAAATTTATTTTGAAAAAAAAAAAGATATTTATGAGCTCATGTTGCTGTCTATGTGTCTGTATATGTATTCCCCCTGTCGCTGCTAGGCAATGGCTCAGTAAAAAGCGTCCCCGCGACAACGAATACACGCTCACCAATAGAAGAATTGTTGTACTCTTCGTTTTCTATGCGGACCTTGTTCTATCTAATCGAAGTGGGCTCCTTGTTTATTTCTTTGAACAAAAATATAAGAGGCTTAAACTTGGCGGTGGTCAAGCTTACGACGGTTCTAGTGACTGAACTGCTGTTGTACGTATATAGTGCAAAAGGAAGAATGTTCAGTAGCATACTATATGTGCGAAAGGCCGTGCATATTCATAAGAGAAAACCCCATCTTCTCATCAGAGAGGATGCTACATAAGGCCTCAGTTAGAAAAAAAAAGATCTCTGGTCGTGAGTCTCACTGGGTTGACGCCAAGACGAAGTGATTGATGGTAACCCGCCAGTTGCAAAGTAACTCTGACTTTCTTTGAACTGTTTAGGTATTTCAACTTCTTCAGTCGTTAGTAACCAACATGCAGGATTTATATAATCTATATGGTGTTGTATGACGTATTTTTATTTTGCCTTTTTATAGCTTTAGCTGTCAAAACGAACGTACTTTAACTTAGTTTTCCCAAGAAATTCTTGTATATCAACATCAAAATATCATCAATATTCACAAAATAGACACGATACACTGAAACAAAATGTTGCTGACTTACCTGACTTGCTAGATACTCGTAACTTGCGTTCATACAACGTGTTAACACTCCACAATTCGTTGCTTTGTAATTACTACGATAAATCACTTATGTCATTTTTTATGTTGTAACGAGTACAGCCATTGCTATGAAATAGACGATTCAACAGACGTCTATTATTAGGCAGCGGCTGGGTACACACGTTCCCGCTGCAACGACTACGTAAACAACAATCAAGGTATTGTTGGACTAGAACGTTGGCAACGACATTAAGACGACAAAAAGGGAAGTCTCGAATCTGAGACAGTAAAACATGGTCACGAATCCCACGGGGCTCTGACCCGAAAATGACTGCACTTGCGAGAGTCAACAGCAATTGTAAACGACAGACTTGTCTTTTCGTCAGAGAGAGCGTTCCACATCAAAAAACTCGTAACTGTCTGACAGTAATAAAAATCTGGTCGTAAGCCCCAGATGGGTGCTTTATTCCAAGTTCGACTCACCGACTGACCGTCGGTCGTAATAGAAGTCTCAAGACAGGCTGAATTAGAACTGAGGGAGTCTCTTGTGATGGTAGTCGAAGATGATTGAAATGGCCAGAAAGGAATTAGGCTATGCAAAAATACTTAATGTGTGCTGCAGTTAGAGTGAGATTGGTATAATTCCTATGTTGAAATCCGTTGCCAGGATACGACTAGTGAACACTGAAGGCACTAGTGTATGTATGTGTAACTGTGAAATGTACGTCGTAAAGTGTGTAGATCAGCGATAGTGTTATAATTATGTCTAGTTCTGAGTGGTGTGTATAAACAGTCAATATAAATAAATATGTGTGTGTGTGTGCGTGCAAGGACTACGTTTTAGATTGTTAGGAACATGAGAGAGTATCATGTTTTCCTGCTCTCTTACATTAGATAAAGAAGAGAGTTAAAAAGTTCACTGCAAGTCTTAGAAATAAAAACACGACAGTATAAATTATGAAAATAAATTATTATATCTTAAACAATTTACATAACTTTCCATTTGTTCTTAGGACTACACAATTCCAAAACTTTATTCTCAATGTGTCTTATGAAAATTTCATGCGCTGAACATCGAGAAATAATGTTTTCAAGAAGATATTAACCACACAAAATAGTTTACATGTGTAAGTAATCCATGAAAAATGAACTGAAAGTGCCACCACTTCATAGATCCTTAACCACAGAATGCATTCCATATACTCAAAATCTATCGAAACACCCTTTTATGTTATTTGGTTCTTCGTTCTTCTAACACTTCCAGGTTTATAGTTAATGTGATGGCTAATGACAAGGCGAATATTAATAATTTATGCATGAGGAAGCGTCATAACTCAGTATGTACAGCAAATATCTCAGTTAAAATTATTTCATTGTTTTCTTATCATTCAGATAGATTATCTTCCAAAATATTTTCCCATAAACGTTTTATCGACACCGAAGTATAAGGTGTCCGGATGAAAAATAAAAAATTATATCTAGGAAACTAATTCTCATACACGTATCCGGTTTATGTCATCGGAAAGGGAAACTCTGTAAGTTTTGCTTCTATGCCCGGCTTACGCGCATGTTAGGAATCACTTGGACAGACAGATGGCTAGGAGATAGATTGGCAGAACTGGATCAATCGCTTGGCCTCCTAGTCGCCAGCTTTAACTCCACTGGATTTTTTCTTGTGGGGTTATGTGAAGAACATTGTTTACCAGGTTAAGATCGATTACCTGCAACACCTGAAAGACCGCATAAGGCACGCTGTGGCTATGGTAACACCAAATATGCTGGATCGTCTGGATATTTGTCGTGCCACCAAGGGAGCCCACGTTGAAATTTATTGAGAAAGTTATTTACTCAGAAACAACTTTGATAGTTTCCTTTTGTAATGGGGTAACCCATTAATATGTGTAATAAATTCTTTCTGAGATATTATTTATATTTGATACCTTTCGTCCGGACACAATGTATTGTTGCGTGTTTTGTGTGTCACGCGACGAACAACTTCACGTGGGTCTCGGATTCAGCGAACCTTTATTGTGCTTCACATATACACTCACACCCTTTACAATTACGTATTAGCTCTTGCAGTATTACAATTACTGCTTACACAATATCTCGGCCAATACTTCTGTAGCTCTCGGCGTCTATCCTGAGACTTTCTCAGCGAATGCATTCAACCCCTTTTTATAACCTCGGCCGCTGCTATGCAAATCTGCCTTTGTTATAACCATGGAAACGCTGCTTTGTTGATTCCGCGATTCCTACGCAACGACCCATTGTTATTGCGTTGTCTCTGTGGGAACGCTCCGTGTATTCGTCGTAACCGTGGAGATTCGATGTTCTCGATAGAACGGTTCACTGTTAGGATTACAGTATGGCTGTTGTTACTTCCTATACAACGGTCTCTTCTAGCGTTTCCATAGGGATGGCTTTTCTGAATTCCAAACACGTTACAGTATTATTGATACAGCCAAAATAATTACGTGTTTTTTTTATTATATATCTCTAAGTTCGTATGACTAAGTTACAAATGTTCTATATATGAGCCTTTTGTCACTTGACAGATATCAATACGATAATCCAATTCGTTCCAAACACACAGGAACATGTCCTCGTCAGCACTTGCAACGGCTGTTGTGATGCGTTGCTTTAGGTCGTTTACACTTACAGGAAGTGGAAGAACAAAAACTCAGTGCAAACTTCATTTTCATCCAAGATGGAGCTCCTACTCACTGTCACATAAAAAAACGAACTCCATAGTTTCAGTCAGCAAGCGAACTATACCGACCGAGCGACCGCCGCTTGTCGGCAGAGTTAATGCCAACTTTAGAGGATAGAGTGTGTCGCGTGGTAGCGCAACGGATCCCCACGGCCGTTAATCTCGGTTTTCTAGACCGGAGCCGCTATTTCCTTGAAATAACTCTTCAATTATCCTCACGAGGCTGAGTGCACCCCATTCCAGACCCACTATTTTTCTGAAAATCTGGTAGAGCCAGGAATGGAACCCGGACCTCTGGATCTGTAGCCAGGAACTCTGACCACTAAACTATAGAGGCGGTCCTCACTGGCACGTGGAGTTTCGAAATTACCTGGATCAAAATTTGCCTCGACGTTAGATTGGCCGCTCAACAGACCAGAACATGATACTGACATGTTGGCCACCAAGAAGTCCAGATCTAGCGCCTTGTGATTTTTTCTTGTGGGATATATCAAAGACAGTATACTAAATACACCTTTGTAAGTACTTTGAATACTTTGATTTTTATAAGACGATGAAAGTGTCTTTCAACCCATCAGAACGTCCTGGATTTGCATTAATAATACAAAAATAAAAGTAAAATTACTGACTTATTTTTTAAATTTGTAAGATAGCATTCTTTTTATTTTATTGTTAATAATAAATGAAACATTTCAATTCATAATGTTACCCCCACAAGAAACAATTCCTGGACAATCAAGAAATTATTAATTTTCATCATAAACAGTGTCTCACTTCCTTGTACTCGTAAACTGTATTCATGGAGACGTTTCTTAAAATGTCTTGTAAATGAATTAAATCTTTAATTTTGTATTTTCTCTAAACAAATTTTTGATGTAAAATCTAAAACCCACAAGGTAGCACCACTGAAAGCTTACGGTGCTTGTAGTTGATACGTGGTTAAATGTGACTGGTTAACATTTTAGTATATAGACCAGTTTTATCAGCGACTCAGGCCCGCTAGAGACAGCCTGGTCTATAAAAAATCCAGGCATTCAGCATTCTGCAGTCAGAAGTTCATCTGTGACCATGGATGTCTAGAAATATGGATCTGTTATGACATAAAGCTTCAGTTCTACAGTGTATCAGTTTATATTTGAAGAAGCTTTGATTTTGTGGCAGAAGGTTTGACGGTATGTACTTTGATATATCTGTTTTTACTGGTGGAACGGATTGTTAGTAGGTTACTTACTAAAGTAACGTATTGTCGCGCTTTGCCTGGGTAACGGGACAGTAATTCACGTGGGTTCCGGATTTGAGCGAATATTTATTGTACACATTCTTTCACACTTACAAGTATAGATATTCACAATCACAATTACTGCTTCGAAGCCAACTGAAGACTACTACTCTTCTAAGGTCAACTACAAACTGAACTCGTCTCAAGTCAAAATCAGTCAATCGAACTGTCGCAGTTGGACTCAACTTCCAAGCGGACTCGATGGGGAATCACATCTCGAAGGAGTCATTCCGCCCGCTGCTATCGAAACCCTGCTTCAACAATTCGTGTGTAATGGTGAAAACTCACTGTTAGAATTCCAGTATTCCATTACATCCAGTTGTCTAGGTAATCTACTCTGATCTCCTCAGCCATTCCGGCTTTCTGGCGCCACGCCACAATATGTATTATCTAGAATCTATTGAAATTAATAATTATGTCAATGTTTTCATTATCTTAAAATTCATTAGTTAATATGGGAATAATTGGGCTTACACTTTTCATTGAGGGTTATCCGAAATTTTGGACTTAATTAATAACCATCAAGCCATGAAAATATATGACGGAGTGGATGTATAGCTCCTCCATTCTTAACCTTGTCATTAGATGGAGGTGAGTGGACAGCTTCACGCCCCGACCATATTACCTACGGAGAAATAACCAAAGAGCCGGTCTGGATGGTATGGAAACAGAAAAATCTCTTGCTCTTGCCAGGAATCGAACCCTGACTTCTCGGTCGTCCATTCCGTAGTGTAGTCGCTATACTGACTGAGCTACTCCGAGAGGGTTAAAATTATCTTTCTTGTCTTTTTGTAATCTCTGAAAGAATTTAAACTCTGTGGCGCATTAAATTTATTTTTTTTAATAAATAAATTAATTGAATACGAACGTAACGAGAAATTTATCAGTAGCTGATTTAGTACGGGTGACGCTACAGAGGCTCAAATAGCGGTCACCGTTCTGCAGAGCTATGTAGCTAGTTCTACCAGCAGCAAGATCATAGCGTACATCTGTATAAACAAACAGCGTAATCCGCAAGATGGCTCCTCACGACAGCGTTCAACTGGACACTTCTATCTAATTTGTACACAACTACAGTCCGTTCATGAACAGTTCAGGCACAATTCGGTTTCTAGTAGTGGTAGAAGGGCATTTTCACAGACCCATTTAAACTTTCATCTCTTGTACCCCAGACATTCGGCAGCGTCTAGATTTTTTAAAAAATGCAAAGTTTACCTGCAGTCAAAAGGGAGGACCTGTTCTGCTGGGTCTATTTAAATGAGCTGTTCTCAGTCACTGAACCACTCTTAATACGTATTTCATTGCCATTAACTCAAAAGTATTTATTATTATTATTTCGGCAGGTGGGATTGGTACGTCGGCCATGAATTGAGCTATTGTACCATCCCCGGATGATAGAGGAATATAGAGCATTTGGTGGACTGATAATTTGCAGGGGAAACCGAAGTACTCGGAGAAAACCTGACATAAAAGAAAAACAAACACCTTGGCCTGTAGTACTCAAGCGAACTATACCGACCAAGCGACTGCCGCTTGTCGGAGAAGTTAGTGCCAACTTTAGCGGATAGAGGATGTCACGTGGTAAGCACAAAGAATCCCCTCGAACTTTAATCTCGGTTTCCTAGACCGGAAGCACTATTTCCCTGAAATAACTCCTCAATTATCCTCACGAGGCTGAGTGGGCCCCGTTCCAGACCCACTACTTCTCAGAAAATCTGTTAGCGCCGGGAATCGAACCCGGACCTCTGGGTCTATATCCAGGAACTCTGACCACTAGACCACAGAGCAGCTCAAATTAACAAGCTGTAATAAGGATGAACATAAAACTCAAAGATGTACGTTAAAACAACTCCTAATTATCTCTTCTTTTGTACCTACCTTCATTGAGAGAAAGACGTGACAGGGTTAGTCTTGGCTCAACATGCTTGTGGAATGTGCCTGGTTCACTGACACTTTCTATAGGCTTTTCTTAATTGTTATGTGCAATTTAATATATGCATTTATCATGCATCTAGGTTTTCATAGTAAAATGTTAGCCGTCTACGTGTTATACGGTAAATTTCATTCTTAGGGGCAGTAACATCTCCGTTATGGATTAAAAATTTTACCACCTACTCCTTTCGCTCCATTATATTTGTGGTTCTGGCTTGCAGACAAATAGGGCAATATTTATAAGCTCTTTATATGGGCCTGATAAAATTATATCTTTGGAAATTTGTGCCGTAAGATAATTCCATAAGCCATGTAGAGTATATTAAGCCAAGAACAAGACGTTGAAAGCTTATGTCACGGGCAACTACTTTATGTCTTTGGCTGGTTCAGCATGCATTTAACCGGTATTTTCTAAAGAAACTTCTCTCTATATGTGGCCATTGTCCTCGTGTAATAAACCTCAGCACACGCTTTCAATTATACCAGATTTTGTCACTGTTCGTGAAGTTTCCAGTTGTCTTTTCCGAAAACATTTTCCTGACGTACACCACTCTGTTGCCCAGATCTTGCAGGAAGCGATAATTGTCAGCTATCTTGGACTCCTTGGCAGACAGACGTCGGAATTTCTTCAACTGAAAGCAATACACTTTTAATGTCATTCATAATCTGTCGAATTACTGAAATGTAAAGATTAATTGATATATTGGGTCCAGTGATTGAGGCTAGCTCTTTCTAACGGACCCAACTGAATAGGTGTTTTCCTTCACCTGAGGACGGAAACAGATCCAGTTTCCGAAACGTCGTGTTTTTATTTGTTATCTTAAAAACCAGGACGATGGATAAAGTCCAAAAACCCAATATATCAATGTGTTATACACCATCGTCAGAATCCTATAGTAACTACTTGTAAAGATTAATGTTTCCCATGTTGAAATATTTTAAGAAAACTTCATGCTTTGGCTGTCACTTCTGATGTATTGGGTTTGAAGTTCTCACTGGAGTGACTGTATTCTGGGATGTAACGCTCTGTAATCCGACAGAAGCTGACTGACGTTTCTGAGATACATTCTGCACTACCTCCATCTGCAGAGCAGGAGAGTTAGCCAAGCAAGTATTCAGCAAGAAACGGCGGAAAGCAAAGTGTCATTGCTTTTATTCTCCAAAATTTAGAACTTATATAACCATAGACAGAATAATTTGAGAGAGTTGAAAGCCCATATTTAGGCATTGAAAGAAGAGACAGATATGTCATAACGGCTAGCAATCAGCGATGACAACCAATAACGACCGTTAGTTTTCCCTGGATAACCGTTATCCTATGTAAGATTTGAGGTTTTCACGGCGGTGAAGAATGGCGCCTTCTGGGATGTGGCGCCGTGTAGATCTTGTGTGAACCGACGTTTAGGAGGAACGTATCGCTTCCATCTTCAGGGTAGAAAAATCCGCAAGCGAGGAACCAGCGTGAGCAGGTGGCTACAGACTGCACAAAATCTACAAGGCGCCACATCCCAGAAGACGGCAGTCTTCAACATCTATCCTAGTTGGATTAGGGACTAGAAGTTGTCACAAGCCTCGGTAACCTCTCTGTTACCTTACAATGTCTCCTAACATGGTAGAAGAAATGCCATCGTCCTAGATCTTGGGCAGCAGAGACAGAAATGAGATCAAAGCTAAGGAGCAAATATTCGAGGCGAGCGAAACAGTTTGGCCTTGTTGATGATAGAAGAAAGGGTCATGATGCTTGACCCCAGTCTACACCTGTTTGCACTCTACACGATTTAGACTACAGTTAGGCACTGCAGTCTCATCTTACTTGGTCGTCTGATCAATTCCGGCGCACTGTGTAATGGTTGTGCTAGTTAATGTTCGCGTATCATTCCTGCCGGTGCTGTCACACTCGAGTTCTACAATGGGTGCTTCGGATGTTTGGAAACAGAGTTATTTAATGACGCGATGTTAATAGCACCAGGTGTTCAGAACAGATTCAGGATAATATCGTTCCCTGAACTTGATGTTTGGATCAAGTTGTCGTTGTAGCATCAGATATGTAAGTTAAGCAGGATCTGCTCTGTAAAGCCTGTACTGACAGAGGACTTGTGTGTAGTGCAAAAGGAAGAATTTACAATAACACGTTATACGTGCGAAATATACACGAAAGGACAAGTGTATTCATAAGAGACAAACCCATCTTATCGTCAGAGAGGATGTTACATAAGGACTATTACCGCAAGAGTTCAGTTGGGAAAAAAAAATCTCTGGTCGTGGGTCTCAAGGGGCCTGACGCCAAGGCGAAATGATTGGCCGTAAACCGCCAGTCGTAAAGTAACTTTGACTTTGACCTTGATCAAAGAGTATTGGGGAATATTTTGGGAGTGTTTAAGTGACACCCAGGAGAAGTTCTTCGTGTGAAGACTTGGCATGTTATCGGAAGACTTGAATTACATGTATGATTTTAAGTGCTAGTTTCTGTGTTGAGACCCATTACCAGGAGAGGACTAGTGTGCGTGTAACAGTGGATTTCGAAATGTATGTAAATCAGCGATAGCGCTGTAATTTAAATGTAATTAAGAGAGTCTGTAACCAAGCTGTTAATAAATCCAATCATCGGAACTAGAAACCGTCATTTTGTCGCGCCTATGCCCCTACACATGACAATAATTCTATAAGTGTATCCCAGAGTTTAGGGCAACTGATAAATTGGGAAAAATCCTAGAAAATATTAACTGTAAGGAAAATGGACGTGTTACTGTGTGGCAGATTTGTTGCTCAGGTTGGTGGCAAGTTAGTCCCTTGGATGGCGTTACTCACTTGTCTGTACGATATGAATTGTGGCTCCGGAAACACGATCCAGGTGACAACCTCGGAGCAGGGCGGCGTGGTCAAGGACCCCCGGTACGTGTAGTATATCTCGAGGTCTTGTGGCAGAAGTGACGCCATGGTGAATGTGGAGTCCAGGTGCACGGACTCACCCTCCAGGGCCACTTGTTTCAGTTTCTTCAGCAGAGGCTGCAATTTCGGGTTTTCCTTCTCTCGCACCTGCAACATAACCAAAACACACTTCAGCATTACTTATTTAGCTGTTTTTTACAAAGAAATTTGAAATGTTATCTATACTGATATACCGGCCCTTTATAGGCAACAGGGCCGTATGACCCAGGCTTCTCTTATGTGGGGGCGGGGGTCAAATATACTTTTATTTAATTTAAAAATAATTTGGAAATTCCGTTTAATTGAATTGTTGGCTTATTATTCTTGACTTTCGTCGATACTTATCTGCATTGTTTAGAATATTTCAAATATAAAACACGTTTGTATTGTTGTCCGTCATATGTTTTGTGCTTTCGAAATGATTAGTCAGGAATATATTTTAATAGTATTAAGGCATGTGTTTAAATATAATTAGTAGTATTGTTTATTAATTATTAAAATTATTATATTAGAGCCTGTATATTCCATTCTCATTTAAATCTGTTGCCTATTATTATCAATCACCTTGAAATTATTTTCTTTTAATGTTGTTTGAAACAAAGAATGGCTATTGATTTTTGTTTTATAAATTAACAACAACTGCATTTGGCATGTCATTGCCTGTATAAACCATCATGGATTCCGAATACGTTTCGCTTGTCTGATATTACACGACATTTATTAGTTTATGCCGTCAAATGGAAAGCTAAATATAGACTCCATGCTAAGGCTGTGTTGGTTTACATTCTAAAAAATTAATATGCTTCAAAAAGTGCCATATTTCGGAGATCTGTTGCCAGGTAATCATATAGCACCTTACTGACTGGGTTTATGCCCTAACGCCTAATAAATTCGCGAAGTCGCCATCTTGACATTACTGATGGCAGGAAATCCGAAAGCACATGGAGGGAATGGCTTTGCGATATGCTGTTCGTTTCATGACTCATGAAAATACATAAAAAAACAAATCAAAAACAAACTCGGTGGCCTGTAGTCCGCAAGCAAACTATACCGACCGACCGACCGACCTTCGCTTGTCGGCGTAGTTGGTTCCACCTTCAGCGGATAGAGGGTATCGCGTGGTCAGTGCAACGGATCCCCACGGCTGTTAATTTGGGTTTTCTATATCGGACATGAAAATACATGAGCTTATTTTATGCATTGTGGGATTAGTTCATGCTAATATAACTCTAGATCAATTCTCTCGAAGTATTCTCGCTTATCTTTCCTTCCATGACTGTCATTAATAATTTCTTTTGCAATAATCACAGTGCCTGAAATTAATATACGCCTACAGGTATAATTAGTCTGCAAGTTGGGCCAGCCGGTCACGGCAGCCGAGCGGTCTAAGTCATGAACTGTCTTCGCTCGCTCGGCAGCCGGGACCGTTGGGTTGAATCCCACACAGTTCATGGATGTTTGATGTGTGTATGTGTTTATTCTTTGTTAGTGTTCTCCTGTGTTTAATTAGAGGCCTTGCCACGAGCTCATCACTCGTCCAAGGATTCCTACCGTCTGTAAAATGATAATAAAACTTAAAAATCAGAGGCCAGGGCCCAAGGGGGCTGTAGAGCCAGAGAGAAAAAAAAATGTTAGGCCTACCAAAGCGATGCTTACCTCGAAGAAAAAGGCTAGGACAGACAAACCGTCGCTGTAGCCGATCGCCTCCTGGACAGATTCATAGTTTTGTTTCCTGTGGACGATGTGCATTTCCATTGGATATCTAGGTTGGAAGAAATAGAAAGCAATTCATGGTTACAATGCTACTGCGGGGTTGCCCTATCTGAACAAGAAGCTTGACGCATAAAACGTAAAAATGTAGAGGAGCCATATTTTCAGTGTGTTATTTTATCGGGAACAACATCTTGACAGAACAAACACACTGAAATGTAGTAGACATATAAGTACGTTAAAATTTCGGTTTAGTCTTGCGTCCACTATCTAAAGATATATTGTTTTGTTTAGCTGTGAAACACGAGCTCTCATATCAACGAAAGATTGCAGACTGTGCCTCAAATGAGTACTACTGATAGCATTCGAGACTAAGAGGAAAGAAGGAGATTTCATAATAATCAGCTTCATAATTTGTACTTCTCACCAGATATTATTAGGATTGTAAAATCAAAAATAAGAGATGGGCAGTGCTTGTAGAAAGTATGAGAAAAGAGAGAGAAATACATACGAAATTTAGTAGAAACCCTAAGGAAAATAGACCACTTATGCTATCTAGTGTGGAGAATAATATTGAAATAGATCTTAAAGGAATAGTATGGCAAGTTGTGGATGGATTAATCTGACTCAAGATATGGACTAGTGACAGGCTTTCGTGAACAAGACAAGGAGCTCTCGGGTTCCATGAAATACTGTGAATTTCTCAACTAGCTGAGTAACAAGTTCTGAAGAAGAACTCTGCTCTATGCAGTTACTTTTTCAGTTAGTTATATATTAGTTATAATTGTTTTGTAGCTTTCAGGATAATTTCGTAACGCCTAAGCGCTATTTTCTTCTTGTGCTTCAGTTGACTAAATTTATAGCAGGGTTCAATACAGAATATTTAACAGCACCTAGTTACACTGTTAGATAAATTAAATCAATATTTTCTTTCCAGATATGTTGAAGGACACTCGGTGGCTAACAACGTGATAAGAACTTTGCTATATAAACTTTGTTCAAGCGTCGATCTTCTGATAATGCCTACCATACACTGACATGCGCTTCCGGAGTTCTGTGTTGAAGCGTGTAACAAGCATCCCTGTTTACATCAGATGCACTTGAGCACTTTCGACTAAAACAATTGTATTTTTATTTCTCCGGCTTCTTTTGGGGTTTGAGTTGGATTTTCATTTTAGTTTGGATTTTTACTGCCATGTTTTTTAAATGTTTTTCGTGATATGCACATCAACCCTCCACCAATTTTAGGCTTATTTTTTTGTAATATGCTTCTTATTTAAGAACAGCGCGGAATACACAAATGCATTATGTCGTCAAAATGCAGCGATTCAGTATGTTTAAGCAGGTGGTGCTGTGTTTTAAAGGGTTAAATATTTCTACCTAATCCTTCCAGCCGCACTATGGCCCTGGGGTCGACTCAGCCTCTAACAGAAATGAGTACCAGGAATTAATTAAATAATTTTCCTGGGGAGTAAAGCGCGGCCGGCGCGTAAGGCTGACAACCTTACCGCCATCTTTGAGCCGATTGTCTAGATAATGTGGGACCCTCAACGTCTAATAACCCTATGGGCCTTCACGGCCTGTTACAGGGATAGCTTTACTTTTTTTTTACGATGACAATTGGCGATATTTCTCGATCTATATTTAACGTTAGTGATTAAATTATTATACAGTGTACGTCATTTCATCCCTTTTTATTTCGCCTCTAATTGTGAAACCGACCGAATGGGGAGCACAATTTTTGGGGCCTCACCTCTCAGAAGTCGAGAAGAGAAGTCCATAGAAATTGTACACATGTCTGACAGATGCATTCATTCATACGTTGCTGTACTCAATGTGGATGTCTGTGACGTCACTACAGTTCCATTGTCACAGAACTGTTAGTTCTCATACCCTAAATAAACAAATTTAGTGGTATCAAGAATTACATGTGCCGACTAATATTCTTACTGAAAATGTTAGGCTGGCAGGAAATCCTCTCTCGAACACCTGTTGTAAGAATATGGCTCTTAGAATTTCAGAATTTATATTCATTTTATACCTGAGCACTGGGAAGGATAAACTGTTAGACATTGTCATCAGGTGTTGCAGTGTTCCCAAAAGAAGAAATGAGTACGTTTACATATTTCAAGCAAGATAGTAGCAACTCCGACTTTTCTAAGATTTAATTTGTACATGATCGCTGCTTTGACATACAAATTAAAGGTGCAACATACAGTTTTTGCGAAATACTCTCATGAATTTTATTGATGCATTTCTAGAACATTGTTTTGGCATTAACAAAGCAAGAAAACAAGCACACAGATGCAGTTTTGCAAAGCTTTGGTGGAGCATACGCAGATCCAAAATTTGGACTATGAGAGAAACAAAAAGCAACAAATTGAACTGCAGAAATGTTTTGAGGAGTCTAGCAGGCTACAAAAGGAATCAAGAGATAAGAAACACTAGAATTATGGAATAAAAGAACATTCTAAGATTCTAAAATTCAGATCTCACTGGTACTACCACGTTATGTGAAGGAAAGACAATAATTCTGAGACAAATTTTAATATAAAACCCGAAAAGACGACAAAACACAGAGCCTCCACAGGTAAGCTCATATACGTAAATTTTTCAAGATATCGGAACAGGCCAAGAACATCCCAATCCATGATGATGATGATGATGATGATGATGATGATGACATTTTCTGACCATGAGCAAGTGCCGTTTGATTTACTGACCTTACCCCATTCACCCTGTGTTCGCTTCCCCGATAGTCCCGAAGTCCCCAGTGGAAGTGCAAGGTATCCATGACATAATGGTCCTTGAGCAGGGCGCCGTAGACTGCTGGAGGGTGCTTAACGCGCCCCAGCCCCTCTGGTCTCAGCATCACTTCCCGGGAGAAACAAATGATTAAATAGTTTGTTAAGGGAAGTGCTACAGTCTTCCTGAAAGGAATTTATTAAATTTATTAAAAATAATATCTTTGAGGCTTGAATTTTCTTTAATACACTTCAGAACAAAAACCATGTATGTCTGAACAGTGTAATCGGTGACAAAACCAAACATATTCTCTTCAATTGCAATATTAGAAATATACATAAAATTTTCAGATATGTTCCACGAGATTGCTCTATTCTGAGTTGTGATGCAGTGTTGTCTGGTAGATCGCTACGAACGTTTCGGAGTGACCTGCTATCTCCACTTTTATAGCAGAAGATTAACGTCACGTCCCAAAGTATATTTGTCAGTCACCCACGTGACAAATTCAAATGTCACTTTGCCTTGAGGTTGTGCATTCCTCAGACCGCCTCTGTGGTCTAGTGGTCAGATCTCCTGGCTACAGATCTAGAGGTCCCGGGTTAGATTCCCGGCGCTACCAGATTTTCTGATAAGTGGTGAGTCTGGAACGGTGTCCACTTAACCTCGTGAGGATGACTGAGAAGCTATTTCAAAGATCCGGTCTAGAAAACCGAGATTAACGGCCGTGGGGAACCGTTGCGCTGACCACGTGACACCCTGTATCCATTAAAGTTGGCACTAACTTCGCCCACAAACTGATGACATGAAGGAACCCTTTCCTGGAATATTCAGGGCCGAAAAGTAGACGTTAGAAATGGCCTCCGTGAGGCTTGCCAGACGGACACTGTCAAACTTGTACTGTTCCTCAGCTCGCGGTCTCGTGTTGGTGTGTCGTGCTCACAGCGACACGAAGCTGTGTTACGGCGTGGAGGGGGGAGGCGTGTAGGTATCCCCACCACTTCCACCACTGTTACGCCCTTACGACAGGGGTGGATGGGTTATCTCACCGCTGTCTTCACTGTTATGCCGCCGCTACACCTCTATTATGCCGTGGTGACAGGGGGCGTGGAAGTATCCCGCTCTGTCACCCGGTTTAGTATGCTGCCACCATCTTGTTATATCAAGAAAACTAGTAAACTTATCCTTGCTTACGTCACTGTCCTGGCTTAACTCGTAATTCGCCGAAGCTTTGGGAGGTCCTGGAGTCGTCAGGGAAGAGGGTAACACTTAAGGAATTGCTAGGTTAAAGTAAACTCACACACATGCCTATCCTATTCTATTTCCTTATGTTACTATATACATACTATATACACACTTACCGACGTTCGTCGGTTGTATTACACTGGATAATGAGCCTGCAGCCATCATTAAGTCTACCTCCTGTCACCCTACTGGCGGGTAATCTACGCCTCTGTATCTCGAATGAACCTCGTCCCTCTAGTTAGCCTTATCCTCCTCTGGGGTTAGACGTTACCGTTATCACTCTCACACTTAATGTTCATGGCTATATGAAGTTGGTTTCACTTACTTGAGCTGAGAAAACAGATGCTCGCCATCACCAACCAGCGCCCACTCACGGCCATCGCTCTCTCGGCGATAGCCTCCCGCTGAACTCTAAGTTACTTAATATTATTCAAAAGTCAAAAGGCAAAAGGTTTCTTGATTAAGTCTAGGGTTTATATAACCTATCTTTGCTGATTCTTCGTGTTCCGGGTATATTGGCCTGCCCATTCTGACGTGATTTTGGGTCGGTGTGGCCCCCTCATTGGTTGCCTATCGAGAAGGGGTTGACTCTCTCGGGTCTACCGCCCTCCTCCGACTCAGCGTTTTCCTCCTGCCATAGTGTTTATGACCTATTTCATATAGCTTCTTCCTCAATGTCAGCGCTATTACGCTGCCGTGTTAGCATTCTAATGACTCAGGTATTGGCTGTTCCACTTCTAAGTAAACCCAAGCTTCCTGGTTCGTTTCATCATGGCTGTTCTTAATCTTACAGTCTAGCTACTATTATTCCAAATTTACCCCCAAAAAACTATATCTCCAAGTACCTGACCTTTGCGCCGTTACAAGCCGCATCACACATTAATATGCCTTTCAAGGCTCGTATACTAAGACCTATGAGCTTTAGCGTACCTGAATGCCCGTTGTTGGTGAGGTTGAGGGGACCAGGTAGCGGGTCATGATAGCCAATCATCTCCACTGCTCTCAGCGGTAGAGGGATGGCGCGATGTCTAACGATCAGTATGGGAGACTGGTACTCCCCACCGCACTTCTCGTGATGCTGGTGCCACAGTTCCTGACCTGCCGGCAAAAACAGCCCTACATTTATCTTTCGTATCCCCGTCGGTTCCTTTGTCGGGCCGCCTTCATCGGGGTACCAAATTTGCCTACTTACCTTCGAGATTTCGGGGCACGCGGTCGCGTAGTTGGTTGAGGCACTATGCCTATCTAATTCCGATGAAGTCATTGGATTTTTCACTTGACCTAATCCTTCCAGCCGCGCTATGCCCCTATGGTCGACTCAGCCTCTAACAGAAATGAGTACCAGGAATCTTCCTGAGGGGTAAAGGGCGGCCGGCGTGTAAGGCCGACAATCTTACCGACATCTATGAACCGACTCTCTGAAGATATGGGAAACTTAACCTCTCACTCCCCTATGGACCTTCAGGGCCAGCTTTACCTTACTTTACCTTCGAGATTCCAGAACAGGGCATATCAACTTAAAAATAATATTACTTTTTATCAGTGAAGTACACTGAGAAGTTGATATGAACTTATCCTCGAGTAATAAACAGTTCTTTGCTATATGTAGATTGGAAAATAGTTCCACATATGGAGATTGCGAGTAATTTGAGACCATTTACGTGAAACAGTTGTGATGCTTGATACTGAGATAACTTATAAATAGACCTAATTTACAACTTCTGTGTGACACTTGTGTGTGTTGAAAACTATCAATATTATGACATTTTGCTTGCAAATAAAAGCAATCGAAACTCTATTATATACACCATAAGAATTTAGGAGGATTTTATCCTGTGTTTAAGAGGTTTCTATATCAGATACTCCACGATTTCCTAGTTCTCAATATATTCATATTCCCTTTTAAAGAATTACAATAATAATAATAATAATAATAATAATAATAATAATAATAATAGGAAATTTTTGTCACGAAGTTGTAGTTGCGTGACATCCTTTTTTTCTCGAGTTATTTCATCATCAGGATCTGAAGTTCAGCTGATAACAGACATAAAGTAATTTTGTGAAAGTTTAAGTTCTAAAATACTCTACTTAACCTAATTTTTGGTATTATGTTGTGAGAAATATAGGACTCTTCGACTGCTATGGCGGGAAATTAGTACGTACGGCTTTTCTCGTAGCTGAACCTGTGACTCCGGGAAACTCGATGGCTCCTGCTACATACATCTGGAAAGAAGAAGATGTACACACTTAAATAAGGAGAGAAACAACCATTACTTCTGGGACACTGAGTTCCTGGCCCTGTCCATTATCTGGTATCCTGAGAGGAAGCAATATTTACGAAAATGGATCTGTTTCTCTCCTCAAGGGAAATTTGGGTGCAAGTCTAAAAACGGAAATAAATGAGTTTTCCGAAACGTCATGTCTTTTCAGGTTACTATACGATGGACAAACAAAAAACAAACAGACAAACTCCGTGGCCTGTAGCCCGCAAACGAACTATACAGACCGAGCGACCGCCGCTTGCCGGCGAAGTTAGTGCCAACTTTAGCGGATCCCCACGGCCGTTAATCTAGGTTTTCTAGATCGGAACCGCTATTTCCTTGAAATGGCTCCTCAGTTATCCTCACAAGGCTGAGTGGGCCCCGTTCCAGACCCACTACTATACTTTCGACAAAACCCTAAAACTATATAATCACAACAGTAATACACCATCGTCGGAACTTTTCAGAAAACAAAAAACTTTTAGTTAAAGCCAAGAGTATTGACCAACAATGCGAAAATTAAATAAGCGTGTTCTATTGCTGAAATGCAATACTGGCTTTCCCCTCACTTAGCTCGATTTAGACATCACTCATGACCCTTTTAAGAGGGATAATTTGAACACGTTTCCGTCCGTATGAAGCATACACAGTCCGGAATGTTGAATATTTCTGGGCGTCTTATTCCAATACGATGTCTGTAATGGTAATTTAATTAGATCAGCTAACGTTACGAGTGTTAACTGGTAACTCACTGTTCACTGGCGTTTCTGAAGACCACATGTATCCTGTATGTCGTACTGTAATGCTTCATCTCTTTGCATGAAGTTTCTGAAAATGTTGTGAATCACTGCTAGGCAACGGACCGGTAAACGCTTTTCCTAGGTTACGCAGTCAACAATGGGACAGTGGTACGTTCCTCAGCAACGGATGAAATACAATTCATAGCTAGGTGTTAAACCATCTTCTAGAATACGAGTAATCAACAATGGATACCAAAACGTTATACTACGTATAAGCGACCCTGCAGAGAAAGCTGAGTCAGTGACCTGTGTGGAGGTGGGGTCGAACGCCTCCACCGTGACCTTGCGTATCGTAGGAGGCGACGAATTATGAAAGTCTTAAATCTGAGACAGTAAAATATGGTAGCGATTCCCAAGGGACTCGCACCCGAGAAAGACCGCGCTGGCAAGGACCAGCAGCATATACAAAAGACAGGCCCGATCTCTCGTCAAAGAGGGTGCCCCACAAAAACAAGACCGTATCTGTCAAACTGTAATAAATATCTGGTCATGAGCCCCAAATGGGGCTCAAAACCAAGACTTTCTGACTGACTGACCGTTAGTCACAATGTGACTTTGACTCTCTTTTGAGAATGAAGTCAGTCATGGGCGAGAAGCTGTGGATAGTAGAAAATTAGAGACTAGTGCAAGATCCAGACAACAGCGAGAGATTCGTTGTCCAGAAGGGGTTTAATATGTGAGCTGATGTAATCGACTGCAATTGTAATGGAGACGTCCAATAAATCCGATTATCAACTATAGAAGCCACAATTTTTCGTCACGCCAACCCCTTATACGTGACAATACATCTGTTATTCGTGGAATGCTGCAGTGTTTAAAACTGACATATACTTGTATTTAGTTAAGGGTTTTGGGGAGAAGGGCTTTCGGGAGAACACTTTGACATAAAATGGAAGAAAGAACAAGAAGATGGGAAATTGCATAATGGGAAATTTCATATTTTATATTTTTTGCCTGATATGAAGGTGAGACAATTAGGCAAGACATTTAGCATAAATGGGAGAGACGAGAAATGCATTCAAAATTTAGTCAGGAAATCTGAAGAGAAGAAGTTACTTAGATTACTTAAATAGACGGATGGATGTTATAAGGACAGAGTCTCGAGGTGTGGAGGGGATTCATCAAATTCGGGACATGCCCTTTGGTGGCTCTCTTGAACACGGTAATGGAACTTTGGATTCTACATAAGGCAGGGACATGCTTGTCTGGCTGAGCGATTGTTAATTCACAAAGACAAATTGATTACTTACTAAAGATCTCTTAATAATTATTAAGAGATCTTTAGTAAGTAATCAATTTATAATCCGTTCGGTGATTATATCTCATCCTAATTTACATATCCCATGGACGTGCCATAGCTCATGGGATTAGTCGCTGGCTTCCCACCGCGGCAGCCCAGGTTCGATCAGGGGTCTGGTCAAATGGGATTTGTGGTGGACAAAGTGGCACTGGGGCGGGTTTTCTCCAAGTACTTCGGTTTCCCCTTGCCAATCTTCATTCCACCAAATTCTCCAACATCATAATCACACGAGGCAGATACAGTAGGCCAATCAGTGGCCGCCATGCCGAGTGGACCCATGTGGACTCCACCCCCCACTAAGCGAATTTTTTTAATTTTTTAACATATTCCATTGTACAGGGTCACCCTTAAAAACTGTAGCTGGTTAGAAGCCTCCAGTGTTTTGTAAAGTTTAAAGGTTATCGGAATTTACAAATTCACAATTTTGCTCTGTCCTGAGTCAGCTTACAGAGATCCACAACTTCACATCCTATTTCTATAATAGTAACTCCCAGATATCCCTGAGTCTCTCTCAGCCATGAACTATCTTAGTTCGTACGGACGCTGGGATCATGAGTGCATATCCCACTCAGGGCATGAATGTTTGGTATGTGTATGCGTTTGTTCTGTGTTTGTGTTGAACTGTGTTTAGGCAGCGACCTTGCGACGTACTGATCACTCGTCCAAGATGTCCTACCGACTGTGAAAAATTATTACGGAACTGAATAAGAGGCCTTGATCCTAAGCCATCGAAAAAAGAAATCCCTGAACCTCACAAGTGGTCTGTTCCCTTGAGGATTTCCAACTGGAATCTTTTTTTTCCTTCCCCGTTTTCTTACTGTATCTCCCACCCATAGCACAATTAATGACAGCAATATGGGCTGAGGCGTAGAAAATCTGAAGCTAATAATTACACATTTTGTCAATTATATTCTTCCGTAAAATCTCCTCGGTTTGGAGTGCTCCAGTTCCTCTTGCTCAGAAATTGTATACGCTGCATTTCCAATAGAGGGAGACCACAAGTTTAATGCCCTTATAAGACGACGGGTATATTCTCATATGCATTGCGATATATGACTTACAGTTTAGCAGACTGAACAAGACACCTGCCGAGATGAGGCACTTAGCAAGGAGCCTCAAGTGAAGCAGCATCTGAAAGAAAGAAGATCGTTAGTGCGTTCTCGAGAATATCACAGATTTACGTTTGATTCACCAGATCCGCGGGTCAGTAACAACGTGAGCAAGGAAGATGAAGAATATCCATCGTTAGGATCCGTTACCAGGCAACGACTATTGGAGACCGTAACAGGCTGAGAGCACTAGTGTGTATGTGTGTGTGATACAGTGAACTGCAAAGTGTAGTTACGAGTCGTGTGTTAAAGTGATCAATAAATCGAGTTACCAATCCAAACCCCGTCTATACTCACTACGTCACGTGACAGTATGTTGCATTCGACGGCTTTCCTTTTTGGTCTTTATAGATTCCATTTCAAGGTAGTGCAAGTTTTGACGTTGCTGTAATGAGATTATTGCATCAGCTGTTGATACTTCAAAGAATACACAATAATATAAATTTATGCAAATAATGACAGTTGTCTGCCATTTCAGATATTCTATCCAATGTGTGTAGGTGGAAAATAAATAAATTAAAAAAAAAATAAACTCCGTGGCCTGTAGTCCGCAAGCGAATTATACCCACCGAGTGACCGCCGCTTGTCGGCGAAGTTAGTGCCAATTTTAGCGGATAGATGGAGTCGCTTGGTCAGCGCAACGGATACCCTAGGCCGTTCATTAAATTAAATTTCAATAGAAACTAATATTTAATTACATTAAAACTAACTCCGTGGCCTGTAGTCCGTAAGGAAACTATACCAACCGACCGACCGCCGTTTGTCGGCGAAGTTAGTGCAAACTTTTGCGGGTAGAGGGTGCCGCGTGGTCAGCGCAACGAATCCCCACGGCCTTTAATCTCAGTTTTCTAGGCCGGAGCCGCTATTTATTATATTATTCTTATGTAATTAATAAAGAAAAATATAATGAGGATGTGGATTGGTTTCGTTTAGTTCGGAATAGAATCCAGTGCCCGCCTCTTATGAAGAGTAATGAACGTTCGAGTTGCATAGGAGGTGACTAATTTCTAAATTCTTCAGGTAGCCTCTTTTTCATTGAGTTACTTTTTTTAATTAACGCATTTGAGATACGGGCGTATACTAAACGAGTATGAGAAATTATATTTATGTTCACTGAAATTTCTGCAGTTCTAACCAGTAGCATGAAGAGCATGAGGGTGTTTGAGAACAGGGTGCTGAGGAGAATATTTGGACCGATGAGAGCTGAAGTGACAGGAGGTCGGAGAAAACTGCATAATTAGGTGTTTCATAGCTTGTACTCTTCTCCAAGTATAATTAGAATGTTCAAGTGATGGAGGGTGAGATGGGCAGGGCATGTAGCACGAATGGGGGTAGAAGGGAAATGCATATAAGATATTCATGGGGAAGCCAGAAGGAAAGAAACCACTGGGAAGACCAAGGCGTAGGTTGGTGGACAATATTAAAATGGATATTAGAGAGATAGGATGGGATTGATCTGACACAGGATAGGGACCAGTGGAGGGCTCTTGTGAACACGGTACTGAACCCTCGGGTTCCATAAAAAGCTGGGAGATTCTTGAGTAGCTTCAGATTGGCGGCTCCTCAAGAAGGGCTCAGCTCCATAATTGAGTACGTGAGTAAGTGAGTAAGTAAGTAAGTATGAAGAGCACAATTTGCAATACCGTGCACAGCTATGTCCCTTCTGTTCCTCTCCCGTACCAGAAGAGCTTTGCACCATGACCAGTGAGGCACGTATAATTGCAATTATTTGCGAAACACGCATAATTTTGAGTAGGCTGAACATTTTCAATATCATAAGCAGCAAATTTGGATTTCAACTGCGATAGAGTGTGCCACTGCCTCCCATATGTAGTGTTGCAGTTCTGCATGTAAAGTTCTGTGTTTCACGGCGTCAGTAGACGGACATATAATCAATGCTACAATTCTCCGAGTCTGTATTGCTCTGTTCCATGCCGTATTCTCACTTCTGATAAGAGTTCTTATCAAAATGAAAAGAAAAACACGTGGATTATTAACTAGATAGAACTTTTATCGAAGGACATCCTTTAATAAGAGTACGTGACTTGATGTTTCCATGGATTTTTTCAGTCCCTTTAGGAAAACGATGAGATATTCTCATATAATAAGATACCACTTCTTTTTTCTGTATCTTTTTCCAACTCATCATTAACAGTAATCTTTCAAAGAGCAAGTTAGTACAAACGATAACAGTTCTGACTTGTATCATAGAAGCATCTGTTTCGAATCTCGTCCGAGGTACCAGCTATCTTACTTAAGGTTTCTCTTGATTTTTCTCAGCCCACATTTTCTAGACAATCGGCTCACAGGTGGCTGTAAAGTTGTCAGCCTTACGCGCCGGCCTCCCTTTACCCCACAGGAATATTCCTGGTACTCATTTCTGTTAGGGACTGAGTTGACCACATGGCCATAGTGTGGCTGGAAGGAATAAACTATTTGAAAAAATAAAATTACCTCACCGAGAATCGATCCCGCGACCTTCCGGCTTGTAACATAGTGGCACCGCGTGCCCCAAATAATTATTATTATTATTATTATTATACTTTATTTTAATTGCGATAATATTGGTTCCGGTATCTTGTAATTTGGCAGATGGTTACTAACATTTCAGAGAAATCTTTTACCACCATCTTTATCCATATCCAGAAGGATGCAGATGCTCCTCCTAAATGTCTGTAGCAATAAAACCAGGCTGCACGGTGGCGTAATCGAGAGGAGCACATCTAAATTTTCACTGCCGTGAAATGTTAATAATCTTCCGTTGGACCCCTTGTTACATAAGCAGTTGGGAAAGCGTTGTTAAACAGATTAATAATCATACATTGATCATGTACAGATAACACGTTAAATTTTCTTAACTGAGTTGTTAACAATACGATTTGCAAATATGATAATGATTCTAATTATGCAACTAATTGAAGCAGGCTTGGTGAGACATGTATAATGAGTTACTAAAATATCCAGCACTACTGTGTGTCTAACACACTTTTGTTTAGAGAGATTTATATAGATTCCAGCTCATTATCTACAATATTTCAAGAAGATTTAAGTTATCGTATCTCTTATCTGACGAATTAGGCCTGTACTCACAGTTCACAATTCAACAGATTCTCAGGGCTTACGTCTTCACTTGCATCCTAGCTATCGTTAGTTATCATAGCGAGTTGTTATTAACTGCGGTTTTAACAAAGTATAGTTCAGCTATAATAAAGTAATGAAAACAATATCCTTGGTTTTGAAGTTCCTCAGATGATGACAAGCAACTGTTGTGTGTTCATCAAGGTCTTTACAGAGGATACATACCTCACTTGTTCATTTACACTGTACACAAAAGGTAACATATTTCTTTCGCACGCACGTCTTTCACCAAGTTAACGAACAGAAAAACATAGCTCGTCTCCTCGAGCAGGTTAGTGTGGAGGTAAGGCTCCACCAATTCGGCAGGGACGTCGGCTATTCTTAGAGTTTTTCGTGGTTTTTCTGAGACCGTCTATGCAAATGACGGGACAGTACCTGGATTAGGCCAAGGCCACTTCCTTTGCAAATCATTTACAATTTGTTATTTACAAATCATATTTCAGTTGATCACTCTAAAGTCAGAGGAAATGAAAGGGCCGTGAAATCGACAAATAAATAAGTAACTCAGCTCGAATAGGTTTCGTCAGTGACAACCAACAGCTGTATAATGGAGTTGCTTGTCGGAGTTCTTCTGATAGTGAAAATTTCCATTTAGCCTTTGAATCTTACTAACGACATACATAACTGTGTACATAATTAATTACCGTCAATCATCCTCCTCATGGTCACAGTTTCTTAGGCTGTCGATTGACGTGAATTTACATATTAACATTATCAGTTCTCTGAGAGGCACTCATATCGATCCTCTTTGGTTTTATAGATATAAATTAATGGAATTGCGTTAAATACTGCAAACAGCCTGATGGCGATATATTGCTATCGATATGTGTTTTCACGCAGTATTGTAACTTCCTTGTAATTAAAAATACATCACTGTATACATAAAGAAAACAAACATATTATAAACCCTAGATGTATCACAAAACAGAGTTCTCAGACAAAATATTTCGGAAGTTAACAAAATTATGCACATATAGTATGGTGAAAAAGTTAAAGCTATCCCTGAAACAGGCCGTGGAGGCCCATAGGGTTGTGAGAGGTCGAGGCTCCCACATTATCTAGACAATCGGCTCACAGATGGCAGTGAGGTTGTCATCCTTACCCGCCGACCGCCCTTTACCCCCCAGGAAATTTCCTGGTACTCATTTCTGTTAGAGGCTGAGTCGACCCAGGGATATAGTGTCGCTGCAATGATTAGATAAATTGAAAAAAAAAAAATCCATCTCATCAGGAATCGAACCCGCGACCTTCGGCTTGTAGCATAGTGCCTTTACCAACTACGCTACTGCGTGCCCCCATATAATATGGAGGTAAGTATAACCACATTTCTTTGATGTAATTATGGACTTGACAACAAAAACAATAAACACATTTTTAGAGTTTCTATACCAGTATCAGAATTATTTCATTGCCACCGTAAAGTCTCGGTTTATATCTCCTATTGCTCTACAGTTTTGGGAGTTCTGAAAGTAGATGACCATCGTTGTTGAAACTAGTCCATGTTCCTAAAGTGAGTATACGTATTTCTGTTAAATATTATATTTTATTCTTACAAAGTTCTTGTTTTTTATTACTTGCCAAATCACATAATTTGCTCAAACACATGTGTTAGCGGCTTCCAGATCCTATTGTAATATTGCCTCTTATTTATTTACGTTCTTTTATTATCTGAATAGTATATAGAATAGCACTTGACGAGTACTTGCACACGTACCCAAGAAGAAACTCGAACCTACAGCCCTACATTTTGCTAGGTGAGTCCGGAGAACTGTAAACAGGTTTTCCCAAGATCAAGTTTCTATACTCGATTTCTGTTTGGTTTATTCTTAGAGACAACACAAACTTCGGAAAGCTTACAACGGACCACGTCGTCGCATGATAGTCACTGCCATGGGAACCTCATTTGCATAATAGTTTGGATAGGTTTGATTTCTTTTGAATTGCACAGATGATAGCTTGGTAGATTGACTGGCTGTCTGGTTGACGGTCAGTTAAATATCAGTCAGTATCACAAACATTTAACAAGAATGGTGCCGTGTAATCATAAGTAGTAACAAGTATGTTCCAACTCCTTTTTATAAATTTTGTACTTCTTGAACTTAATATTCATTTACTGCAGATTGAACCCCATCGCTGTAACATTTAGCACAATACAGATACCCTTCAAGCATTTTACTTTCCTTCTTTTTCGTTATTTATTAAGAGCACTGAGAAAGTTAGCAAATAAAACTTCAAGTTTTGAAATGAAGCTTCCTATATTTCATACTCAGTACCACATTCTTGAAGGACCATGCGGTAGAGTAGCTGGTTGCGGCACTATGCTGTAAAATGGAAGGTCTCGGTTTCGAGACCCGATGAGGTGGGTTTCTTTTTAATTGACCTGATCATTCCAGCCGCACTATATCCCTAGTGTCGACTTAGTTTCTAACAGAAATGAGTATCAGGAATCTTCCTGGGGGGTAAAGAGCGGCCGGCGCGTTAGGCTGACAACCTCACCGCCATGTATGTGCTGAGTGTCTAGAAAATGTGGGCGCCTCAACGTCTCACAACCTTATGGGCCTGCACGGCCTGTTACAGGGATACCTTTAACTTTACCTTTACCTTACCACGTTCTTGAACTAAGAGTTATGTAAAAGTAAAGTGACAAAGGTCCGATTTGAACTCTATCTAAATTATTTAATATATTGGATCCATATGAATAAAAATAGCTACCCCAGTACTAAATTTCATCGAAATGCATTCAGCAGCTTCCAAGTTGATGCATGACGACAAATAATCACGATTTCGTTAATATTTTAATTATATGCGTTTCATGCAAAAAGCTTATAAACCTTCAGTCGTGCTTAGAATACTATAATGAGATTCGCTTGTGTAAATATGGTTTACTGTACCTTTCCTTGAGCTGAGTAGTCAGTTAGTTTTGCTCCGAACCGCTTCGCAGCCGGCGAATGACTTGCTGCCAATGATGCACTAGAACTGCAACCACTCCGCTTTGCAACAGAAGTCACTAACGATCTCTCGCTCATGTGATGTAAGTCTATTGACTTAATGTCTCATTAGTTAGCACTTGGCAGAGTGTGGCACGTAAGTGCAATGAAAACAAAGGAGATCGAAATTATGTACACCTGTCGCTTCCATATATATATTCATTATAGAAAATAATTCAATTGAATTCAATTCTTTATTATTTACGTGCCGTGCCAACGGCTATAAGGCCAATTACAGACACAGCACACTGTAGATACAAGAAAATACATTACGGACAAACGCTATATAAAGTCAAAGAAGGAAAATAATAATAATAATAATAATAATTTGTGGACGCTAGAATCTCTGAAAAAAAAACTCCTTATAAATTAAATATTTGTCCTCTAGGTAAACATATGAAATGTCTAGCTCCAAATTTGGCCAAGACAAATAAGAAAATTTGAAAAACTGTATTCGGGCGTTGATGGGCTCCAAAATTTGATCCTTTAAAACGTTTTCGTGAAATATTTACAAACAACACGGTCTACAATGTTAATAACATTACAGAAGGTTGCGTACAGATCAGAACAATGTACTAATGTTTTCTTTTTTTATTTCATCATCCTTCTCCCAATTTATAATGTATAAAATGAATATTTCGATAAAATACTTAAGACTTAATCACACATATATACAATTCTATAAAATATTCTGACAAAATTCCAATATGATGTCTTTACTAATATAAATTTGGTTACAATTTCAGATCACAAAGAGGAATGATAGAATACAATAGCAATGCTAAGTTAATATGAATCAGTTATTGGTCCTTACCGTGAACCAAATGAAGCCAATCCAAAATTGTGCATAACATTTCTCTTATAATTCATACAGCATACAGAATCTAGTCCACACTAATGGTGTTACTTGCTTGAGGCAGCGCTCATATCGGAATTATTTTATGTTGAGGCACTATACGCATCCATGACGTTGGTTTCCTTTTGTTTGTGTTTTGGGTGTTATATTAATTCTCTCTGTATTTATTGTCTCTCTCTGTAATTGTTGTTGTATTTGTTGCAGTTGTCTGTATTTCTCTGTAATTGTTGTAGTTGTTAATCGTATTTGGTTTGTATTCACTGTGGTAGGATGTCCTTATTCTTGTGTTTTGTGTATTGTGTTTTGTTTGAGCGTGTTGTCACTTAGTGTAATGTGTGTTACTTGTCTGTTGTGTCCTATTGTGTACTACTGCCACCGGGCTAAAACCCAATTGCAGTATAATAAATAAATAATAATAAAAATAATAAATCAATTGTCTACTACATGTGTTAAATTTCTATGGCCTGCAGTATTTTCCTCCTGTACTCTCCATCGTCCCCTACGCATGGAACTGGATATGGATACGTTCATTTCCAAGCTTCTTTGATCATGTCCGACGCCTTCTCCGCTATCATTATTACTGGAGCATTAGTGTTCGAGTTTCCTAATGTGGGAATAATGGATGCGTCAATAACACGCAAGTGCTGAACCCCACGCACCCTTAACTGAGCGTCCAAAACAGCTGCTAGGTCACTGTCGGGGCCCATCTTACAAGTTCCACTATAATGGAAACCTGTATATGTATATTTCCTTGCCAGACAAGCCCAGTAGTCGTTGGTGCCAAATTCTACGTGGCAACAGTTCGGCAAAGGCGTTGTGTCTAAAGACACACCCACATCCTTAAACACTTTTGTGTTGGACAAATTCTTGGCTACAAAATTACAGCCGTCAATAAATGCATTCAAATCTTTAATATTTGCGAAACAATTTGGAACTATAATAGGCTGGAGAAAAGGATCTTTATTCTGGACAGTGACATACCCGATGCTTTTTGCTAACATAACGGTAGGCTTGAACATAATCCGATTATATTCAGGAAATGGAGTGGTGAAGCGTATTTCACCTAAGCTGGTGTTAATCACTACTTGTGGTAGCAAAGTATATTCGATATCAGGATAATCGATAGCTTGATCAGCATATCGAGACTTTATATAACCAGACGCTTCGAGGGAACCTGTCCCGGAAAGTGGCCCTTTATGATGACGTGCATACTCAAGAATGTCTCTCAGTACTTTCTGGTTGCTTGACAGGGTCTGCTGTTTCTCCCCCAGTTTGAATACAATTCCTGGCATTGAAACGTGATCCTGTAAGTTCTGACCAACTTGTAGATCCTCAATGACGTCAATACCTGCTGCACTAAGGATGCTTCGAGGACCAATTCCAGAGAGCATGAGCACTTGTGGCGATTTTAGTGCTCCACTACTAACTATGACTTCCTTATTAGCATAAACTTTACCTCTGATATGTCTGTGCTTCTCCCATGCATATTCCACCCCATAAGCCGTTTTCTTGTTTGGGTCAATAAGGACCTTTGTAACTCTAACGTTCGTTACAACTTTAAGATTCTTTCTGCCATCGCGGAAAGGCTCGATGAAGGCTCTGTTAGTGCTCATTCGACTTCCATCCTTTTGAGTAAACTGCAGCAATGTGACCCCGGTTTGGGTGCCGCCATTGATATCGACACTCGTGTAGCCGAGCTCCCGGAATGCCTCGACGATAAGTTGTGCGTTCTTGTCCTGGTACGGGAGCCTCTGCACGTTCAAGAGACCTCCCACCGCGTGGTACCTGCTGTTGGCAGCGATGGGGGGATCTCCATTGTTTTCAGACTTCTTGAAATATGGAAGGACGTCTTCAAACCCCCAACCATCGTTCCCTGTTTTGACAAATATTACTTTCAACATAAGCATCACCATCAGTATTAGATTTAGTACTGTAAAATTCAAACCTAGGGATAAGTGATATTTATATTCTAGTCACTTCATTTATAACAGTTTAATTTTAAGTTTAATTATTGTTGATTGTTGATTAGTACAGCCGCTCAGCATAAGTTGTATAATATTGTGGCATATTTGCTCAAGACAAGAACTGTGAAGCCAGCAGACACAACCGTTGCTATGCAACAGATTCGTTACAAGTAACACTGGAGTTACTCTAAAGCGGTGTTCTCTACGCGGTCAGTGCGATAGCTGTGTGCTGCAAGAATAGATGAGCTGTCGGGAGATGTGTTTTCTTAGCTCTGTGCGATCAGGTGTCAAAAACAGGACAAATGTAGGATGTAGTTAGTTTTGAGACATTCCTCGGCCAGTAAGGATGTGAATACGGAAGCTGAGGAAGCTACGACGTTGAAAGCCGTTATCAGGCGACGGTCGGTGAAGCTACAGCAGACTGAGAAGACTCCGAATGTGCTGTAGAGAACTGCAGAGTGTATTAATTAGCGTTAGAGCTGCTGTTAGTTGTAGTTAAGCCCTGTAAGAGTTCAGTAAATCTTATTTAAAATTTACTTTCCTTATTCCATAATAATTTAAATTTTTCTATTTTATATTGCATGCAATGATGGAACAGAATTTGCCATGCGAGCTTCAATTTTAGTTCTAACTAATGCTGACAACATTGCCGTGTTATGACGTAGTCTTTTCACGCGTATTTCCTAAATTTACCACTTGCTATAATAGTCAACTCGAGAGTTTCCAACCTCGAAACTATTCCTGTCACCTATCAGTGCAATCAGAAGGCTTGGAAATATGTCTGGCTCTAAGTGTATAAGTGACCCGACTACAATCTCGGAGGAAAAACCACCTGTATTAATTATGTATCGGTCATTCTACGTAAAAGTAAATCATTACTTAAAGCATTATTATAATGCTTCTCACCACATCCATAGATTCGTCACTTTATGTCACGTACTATATTTCATAACCTTAACACCTGGTACAGCAAGGTAAAATAAACAACACGCAGGATTCTTACCCAGTTCTTTCACATATCGTAGGACCTAGAATTTCCTCGGTTGTATACCATTCCATTGAGAACGCTTCCTCCCCCGAGAACCTTCCCGGCCTTCCATGTACACGATCTTCCTCCGCAGTACCCTTCATGTGGCTCCGTTTGGAACTGCCAGTCAAACCTGCTTTCTAAATTCAAGCCCACGAAGGCCGGTACATCGGCCTGTGGGGGCTCCTCCCCACCCGCTTCCAGGAGTAGTACTCTCCAGTCGCTTATCTCAGACAAACTGCACAAGAGACACAAATACGATGTGGAAATATTCATGCGAAAACTGCAGTGCTTGAATTATGTTAATACAGGTATTATGAAGTGATTATACTGTCCGCTAGGTGTCAATGACCTGGTAAACAAGTTTCCGCGACAATGAGCACTTGACTCGGAAATTGAGGAATTGTTGGAAATGATATTTTCTATGTGGTCCGTGCTGAAGTTATTTGAGGAGAACACAGTTAGTGCAATGAGTTACATCCGAGTTGAGGTAGAGTGATTGGTTAGATTACTTGACTTGACTTGACCTCGAAAAATTTTGTGGTGTAGGTTAGTCTTCGAACGAGCCGAAGATAGCGAGCCGATTCGACTGGGTTGAGGATAGGAGGTGGATTCGGTTGATGGATGGGATTGTCTGTTTGATGGGTTAGAGAGATTGGCAAGCAGTGATATTATTGCTGCGGATTAGTGTGAGATTCGGCGAGTCCTAGGTCAGCGACGTGAGTGTCTGCGACAGGGGCTATTGGAGTTGTGGATTCAACAAATTGGATCGTGTGTGTGCAGTTGGTTGCTGTGAGAGACTTGACTTGACGTGACTTGACTTGACTCGACTCGACTTGAGATTGTCTGCGACCATCAAAGGAGTCTGTGGCTGGCGTATCGGTGGTGGGGCCGTCCCGTCTCTAGCAGGCGAAATGACGGAGCCTACACTCTGTGAAGAGCGCTGGAGGGCTATCGTGGCTTCCTACGAGAGGAATCACGAAAGCCTGAAAAGTAACAACCCGGGCTGCGAAGAGGACATTGACCTCCTTGGCCAGGGCTTACGAACAATAGGGCGGCTGATTCATACCTCGCCCTCCATTAACGGAAACGGCGCGGTATGGACCCAGCTATTAAGTAAGTCTGAGGACGAGAGGTCGGTTCTCTGTAGGCACCTCGACGGCAAGGCCCTGTTCACAGGCCTGCTCCGTCTCTATGCTACCACCCATAGGGAATTGCGAGAGTCGCTACTGCCCGAACCATCTGAATCTATCGAGGAATTTCGCGAGCAAAGGAGGCGTAAGCGAAATCCCTCGGAAGAACAGACCAAAAAACTCAAGCCGTCACCAAGCCCGAGAGACCCTAGAGTAAAGTCCCAGGCTGAAGTGACGACTAAAAACTTCTATGCGCCACTAAGGACATCGGCAATGGACGTCGCGGAGGAGACATCCGACAAGCCAGGAGAGGGGCAGCCATCGGCAAACAAGTCAGGTAGGCCGCCTCCCATTGTACTCACCTCTGCAACAAACCTGATACAATTGCAGAGGAAAATCAAAGGGATAGTCTCGGGCGATTTTGAGTTCCGCAACACCAGGAGCGGAACCAGAATCGTCATGAAGGAGATGGCTGACTTCCTTCTGACCAGAAAGTTCCTGGAGGCCAGTAAACTCCCGCACTTTACCTTCTTCCCCAAGGCTGAGAAGCCGATCAAAGCGGTTATCCGCCACCTCCCTCCCAACACCCCTGCGGAGGACATCTCCGAAGGTCTAACGACCCTTGGGTTTGACGTCGTGAGCGTCAAGCAAATGACGTCGACCCGTGGGTCGCCTTCGGAGGAGAGGACAGTCCGGAACCTCCCCCTCTTCCTCATCACCCTTTCCCGGTCGGACAAATCTCAGGAGATCTTCCGGCTGACCAACCTCTGCCACATTGCCATCAGGGTAGAGGCGTACAGAGGGCAGAATGGGCTCACCCAGTGTCACAACTGCCAGCAGTTCGGCCACGTCTGGGCGAACTGCAAACAACCCCCACGTTGTTTGTGGTGCGGAGGTGGCCACCTGCACAAGGAGTGCCCAGAAAAGGGGAACTCTGCGTCCACCCCGGTATGTTGCAACTGCCGATTGGCAGAGGGAGAAAAGCCACATCCCGCCAATTATCGGGGTTGCAAACATGCCAGGGAGGAGCAACAGAAAAGGAAGGCTCGGAGAACGCCCACAACTACCGCCGGGAGGGTGTTCTCGTCAACCACGGTCACACCAGGTGTCTCCTTCGCGGCGGCACTCAGAGGCGCTACAGCAGAACAGCAGCAGCGCCCCCAGGAAAGCCGGGTCCCAGTGGCTCCACCCACAACAAGGAGGCAGACCGCACCGGCCCCTGCACTGCAGAAAGAAACAGGTCAGTCAATCCAGGCTCCTCACGCCAGCAATCCATCTCTCGACAATATGTTGAGAGTAGTGACTATAGTGCAGCAAATTATGACAGAGGTCAGTGGTGCAGTAACGGAAGATGAAAAAGTATTGGCCATCACTAAAATTGTACTCAAACTCATGAAGCAAGATGGCCACTAGAGTTCATAGGCCCCTCAAAGTCATAGCATTTAATGCGAATGGCATTGGGAGGCAGCGCTATGAGCTCAGTAAACAGCTGCAAGACTTACACGTAGATGTGGCCCTGTTTTCAGAGACACATCTGAAACCTCATGAGAGGTTCTTTATTCCAAATTACCACTTTTACAGAACCGACCGCCAATCGGGCAGAAAAGGCGGAACTGCCGTTGCAGTTAGAAAAGGCATTCCCCACAACCATGTAGACCTGCCACCCCTTGTTTCAGTAGAAGCGACAGGGGTCTGCATACCAATTGGTAACAGCCAAGTACTACTTGCAGCTGTTTATAAATCTCCAGGCAGAGCCTGGAGTGATGCTGACATCACTGAGCTCTTAAGCTTTAGACGTAAGTCAATCTTGGCAGGTGATCTGAATTCTAAGAACCCATTCTGGAATAGCAGAGTCTCAAACCCCTCAGGCTTGAAACTCATTGATTTATTTAATAGGAGTGACTTCGAAATTTCAGCGCCACAGTGCCCCACTCACTATTCCCCTGCGGGTAATGGTGACGTGTTGGACATTGTGGTTCACCAAAATATCAGAGTGTCAGATGTCATCGTCTCTGATATTTTGGATTCAGATCACCTACCAATAGCATTCCACATACTGGATCACGTTAAGATTAGGAATCTTTCGGAACCTATTGAGAAAATTACAGATTGGGAGCGGTTTCAAAGTCTCGCCTCTGAGTTAATATCACCTCAACTAGAAATTAAGTCTGGGGTAGAAGCCGATAAAGCGGCACGCGAATTTGCAGCCTCTATTGCTTCGGCATATAGGTTGTCGACAAGTAAAGTTACACTTTCGGACATAAACAACGATCTACCTGGCCTAGATCGTTTGATAAAGTATAAGCAGAGGCAAAGAAAATTATGGCAAGAAACCAGGGATCCAGCATGTAAAACGGCAGTCAATTGGGTCACCAAAGCAATCAGGCGAATGACCCGAAAAAAGGCACTTGAACGGTGGGAAACAAAATTAGGTAACGCTGAAGTCACACCTCAGGCTATATGGCCCATTGCGAAGTCCCTCCTTCAGAGAGACGGACCAAGGGCACCAACTGCTATTCATGGTTCTTCTGGTCTTAAATTTCATCCTTCAGAAAAAGCCAACGAAATTGCTAACTATTTAGAAATTCAGTTCACGCCACATGACCTGTGCAGCGAAAACCATGAACGGCGGGTGGAGGCTAGAGCTCAAGCTCTGCTAGACACCGTTGACGACAGCCCCCCTCAAAAGATCAGACCATGTGACGTTCAGAAATTAATAAAATCCCTGAAATTAAAAAAGGCCTGTGGAATTGACGGCATCCCAAATGAATGCCTCAGGCACCTTCCAA